CGCGATCCGCCTCAAATGGGCGGGGCGACCCCGCCCCATCGCGCCAACCGACCGCCTCCCCTGTGCACTTTACAATTTGTCAGGGAGGTTCGTAATGTCGTTGTACGTGTCTGCGGTGTTGACCAATCATTTAGTACTCACGATTAGGTAGTTCTGTAGGTAAAGGGCCCACTACAATTGTCCACAATCGTTTAGTTCCGGCTTACCGATTAAGGCCAGCTACAGGATAAGAAACGGAATCAGGATTTGATATGTGCATGGTTGGGAGGTGAGTGTCATAAGGTCTGACTTGCGTAGGCAGCATTGTTTGTTGGGAAAAAAGAAGAATTGCCCCACATTCTTAGGAAGTAGGTGCACATCCCGAACAGCATCTTCAGCTGCCGTTAAGTTCAAAGTGGTCGCAGGGTGACATCTAGTAAGGAAAAGCAGATGCTGTGGGCGGATCGAAACTTTCGCTACACCCTCGCTTCTTAACGGAAATATACTTTTCCGTTCTTTAGCGTTTCAAAAAAACACTCAGAACACCACTAATGTCGCATGATCGCTGTCCTTGATAATACCTCATCGGTACTATTTCGGAATGATATTCTCACTATTTTTCAACTTACACTTGCTCAACCAAAGAACAAATTTAGACTCCATACTGATTGGTACTCGGAACAACGTAGTCTGCTCAATTAGTTCTATTGTGATACCCCAAATAAGTCCTATGTCGCCCATAGCAGAAACTAAAGTAGCACCAATATTTATGGTTGTATCTAATCAACTATAACAAAATATATGTATGTGAGCCATCCTGGGGATGGAAAAATGCTTAGCTATCATTAATGTGGACCATTGGCAACTTTTGCAGGAATGGCAAATCAGAGATAAGACATGGAAAAAACACAGCAGAAGTGCAAAATAGAATCAAGGCGATCATTTTCACAATGGTATAACCCAAAAACAATATGGATTGCTATAGTGATCCTTCAATGAACAACATCTAACTACGTATACACGTCGTCATTTGCTCTTTTGAAGCATTGCAAATAATTAAAGTTAAGCAGTCGTGATAGTCATCGTCGTAATATTCTTCTTTTATCGTCGTCCTCAAAGACCGTTTCACATGGACTTGGATGTGGGGGAGCGAGATTTGACTGCATATCCGAGGTGCCGTCCACGGGAGTATTCAAAGCTCTTGGAATTCCCCTACCGACACCCATAGCATATGAGGCACTGCTCTCACCACCAACCATTGAAGCATAGTCATTTGTCTATAAAATATCGTGATTAGCAAAGGAAACTCCATTTGAACCTATCTGAAATAAGTACCAGGGCACACTTCGACTTCAAGTATGAATGACAACAATGTGAGCAAATCGATTGGACTTCATTCTTGTTTGAATTACTCATTGAATGAATAATACCTACCATAGGACTTTCACAGCCATTTCTGAACCTTCTAGATGAATCAAACACTGTGATCGGGCTGAACGGCCACGTTTGATCGGCTACTTGATGTGGTCCGGCAGGCTGCTGTTGCCCAAATGGACGTAAGACGTTACCGTGATGGCCTCAAATTCAAACTGATTATGAAGGAGCAGCACTTTTCAGCCAAAACTTGCAACTATTAACAACAAGTAATAGAAAATACTACAGTAATACCGTTACTTTACCTCAAGCCCAACACCCGAATAATATGAAACTCGAAAGCAAAAAGAGTGTATTTGCGTACGAAAAAGTTTTCCAATCAAGAAGCAGAAAGATAAAAGTAAGTAGAATACAATGAATAGTTGTCAGAAGATTCAAACTTACCACCAGTTGGAGCAGGTGAACCCACGTAAGTGACCTCTGTAGTTGCTTCTATCTTTCCTGTTCCTCCACTATTCTGGGTACTGTCGGCACCACCTCTGACCCCAACCACTGCATCTAAACGAAGGGAATTTAGGAATGTTCGCGATCTTAAAAACAAGGTGCCTAATTAGTTGTAGTGTTCAAACACATAATGAGAATAACATACCACCGAAAACATAGTAACACTTTTCCGTGAATGTTAGCTTGCTGACTACGTGACGAATAAGTCCAGCCTTGAGTAGCTCAGCTGCATACTGTCGTGCTGCTTTTCTATCACTTACGTCTTCGACATGCTCCAGTAACCAATCAACGAGATCTCGACCTATGGATCTCGATCTCATAAAACTAAAGTAAGAAGAACAAGTATGGGGAGGATTGAGCTCACCTATGAATGACATGGGTACAAGGATTTTAAGCCACTTCCTATTTTTCACTTGAAGGCCGGAATCAGGTTTCGCTAGTGCTCTCAATATAATCACCGGATCCATTGTTATTGACAAACGTTGAGTGGCTTTATGCTCTGAACTACAGATCTCAAAAAGGGAAAAGGTAGTCAAGGATGATTATGGATTGACTGAGAATAAACAAGGAGAAAAAGGTATTTCAATGAAATGGAAACCAGTATCACCGTTTTGTTCATTTTCTCGCCTCCTTTCTAGTTCTTCCATGTTGACTTGAGGTATACCATGACGTCTCTGCTCATAAAGGGCTCGTTCCTAAATATCGCTCGCAATTTCAGTACAAAAAAGTTTACTTTTAATGTAAGAAAAAGTCCAAATATGAATCTTTCGAGTTAAAGCCACAAGTATGAAGACTTTGCCAACCTCTTCATCGTCGGTCTCCCTCATAGTGCCTAGCGTATTTTCGTCGAATGTCTCCGTCAGCTCGTCAGACAGCCCTCTTTCGCGATAAATGCGCTGTCGCTCAGAGCACTGCCTAAAAACTGTCGAAATGACTCCCAAATCTGGTGGCACGAGATATTCCTTGCCGAGAAAAAAAGTCAAGTGCTACCACAAGAATAGAATAAATATATTAGTGTACTAAAATATGAAATTTGTCAGGTCATCAAGTGTAACATTATGTAATTGGAAGAAATAACTTACGCAGCGGTTTGAACCCAGAGTGAGACGTCAAGCGGAAGCGTTTCTGATGCGAGTGTTGAAAGAGGATCATAATCATTACCTCGTGAATATTTCGCGACAAACAACGTCAGGGGCCTAAAAATGTCGTTCTGATTACTTTATCGATGTCATACCTCATGGTTCAAATCTCTCGATCCATCAACTTAGGCAAGCAACGAGGGACTAGAAATCAAGTTGAACAATTCGTGAACTAACTTCTTTGCTGCAGCCACCTCTCGAAGCACACGCACTGCTTGGGCCTCCGTGAGATTTTCAAACGATCGATTGTTCACTTGAACAATTTGATCTCCGACTTCTATACGACCGTCCTTTGCAACAGCGCCGTCTGCAATTACAACATGCAAATCTATCAGTGGCAAACGAACTGTTAATTTGTTTCCCATGAAAGCGCCAACACAATCGATACATTTACCTTACCTGGTAAGATTTCGCTCACTAGAATGCTACCCTGGAAGCTTCCAACAGAAATACCGAGGTAGGGTGTGGACCTCATTGACAGATTTACTTCTAGAATCCGCGGGAGGGACAAGCTAGTCATGCTGAATCAAGTGACCTTTTAGAATGATCTCGGGAAGTATATATACAACCTCGAAACGTATGCTCACCTGCTCTCTGTAATTGAACTAATCGTACTCGGTACATATGCCTTCCTGAAACGTTCTTTCCGCGGTTTTCGTCTTCGAACTTTGCCTCCATCATTATAGCCACCATTAGCACACAGTGGCTCATAGAGTGAAGAAGATGCAGTTGCCGAAAACCTTGAATCAGACACAATAAAACTCAGATCACGTCAGAGCAAAGCTCGATTTCAGCACTGTAATTTGCCAGAAAAAAGAGGACGAGGCCTGCTTGAGCCTACCGACTTAGTCAACGTTTTTTTTTTTCAACCGGCGCGGTACTACGGCTGCTTTAATTCAATCAAGCTACTGAGTAAATACCATAAAACGATCATGGCATGCAATTAATAATAATCGTACCTAGTTGAATCATCGTACTTGTAAAAGTTTTCAGAATTAGAAGTGTACAGCTCGGCGAGGTGTTCCCCTGCTCGTCCTGAACAAATGCTACGTAGAATTTGTAATAAAAGAAAAAAATAAGTCGAAGCCGACAAAACGCACTGCTAACAACGGTTCCTCCAACACTGCTGGCCGGATGTGTACTTTCAGAAGCATCAAGCAAGTCCAGATTGGCTAGAGATCGACGTCGTCCTCGCTGCATAAAAACTTTCTATCAAATTCAAGAACAAGATAAGAAAAAGAGGCGGTTCTCCAAAGCGTGCGCCTTTTTTGTTCGTCTAGCTAACTAATAAACATGTCTCAATTTCACTGTCGTATTTAACAAGCTTGATTAACTAAATCAAATCGGAGCCAAGATGAAAGCAAAACTGAATTTGGAACACAGATTTCCAACCTTATCCAGTTGGTCTACTTCGCACAGATAGTCGGTTTGTCCTCTTCGAGGAAGAGTTCCGGAACGTGGTACCGCACCAGCACCACCACAACTGTGCAGAAATAACTCGAACAGGCCATTCGATGAGCGCTTCAGAGAGGAAGAATCATCGGTGAGTTCTATTTTCACCTCACTGGAAAAAATTTATGGAGAAAAAGTGGTAAATAGCACTTTATCTGGATTAAGTTGAGTCATTCATCAAAATACCGAAGGGGCATAATGTATGGAAACCTCTCACATACTACAAAGACTCCTCTTCCAAATGTGTTGAACACAAATGAGTCAATGGACATAAAATGTGAACGGAGCTCACAAGCTGGTGGAAGGCATAACAATATCGAAGTGGGAGAAATAGATAAGGTTCGAAACATTCTTCAACAGTTCACGGGAGCCAACGACGACAGGGCTTTTGGGAGCCAGCTATAGAGCCTCTTTTTAAGGGGAAAACCTATGAAGAGATATAGCTCAGTATCCCACACCCTTTCAGAGAGCAGGCACTTCTATGAAGAGAATCTCCTCCAATGATGTCTCTTGTACAATGGCCCTTTGAATAAGTTGCGAGCGACAAACGTAACAAAAAACAACGCCTGCTAGCATGTGCTTTTTAGGTTCACATCATTTACGATATCAATCGACTGTTCGACTAGGCAGCGAGTAACTATAAGCAAGCCAGAAGTCTCCAAAGGTACACAATAATGCGTTGCACAAAAAAATATGCTATGCTGCGCTGCTCTGCTTCTTTTACTTACACTATTACCCACAAATGGGCAGGACAAATTATGAAACAATCTGCATCCTGAACACAGACCAGTTGGGCGTTAACTATACGTACCGTTTTATGTCGGCGTCCAAACCCTTGCAGAAGTATTTGAATCCTTTTTTAGTGAACACTTTTTTGAAATCTCTAAGAGTGGCCAAATCCGGAGGTACAGGAAGAACTGATACAAATGGAGTCGTATCGTCATCTAGATAGTAGTACACCTAAAAAAAACCTAGAATTAATCCTGTAGGCTTTAGACCAAACACAAATTGATGTTTCCCAGCTTGCTAGCTAAGAATTTACCTTGGTTTCAAGCGGCTGTTGAAAATCATTATTGATCTGATCATCTGGAAGTACTGTTTATGTTAAGCTGGTTATATGACCACGTTTAACTTTTTATATGTATGGCTAACTAAACAAATGGTTTCGAAAGAGAACCCACTTTTTGCCTTCGGCGGATGGCTCATTAAATGCGAATGAAAATAAATGCCTGAAAGAGCAAAATCTGATACAGCTACTTACTAAATTAGCTTTGACGATTCAAATTTATGAAAGGAAATAAAGTTATCTATGGATATCACAAATTAGTGGAATAAGCTGGTTCGAACATTGTAAAAACAGTAGAAAAATGCCCTCACCGCGACGCAAACGCAACGCAACGTGCAACCTGCAATAGAGCACATTATTCCTAGTGCAATCTGAAGATCTTTGAAAGTTGTCTCATCGGGGAATGGCCGCTGTTTGGTTAATTCCGGCTAATACACGCTAATTAAGCCTTTTGGTTTACTGCTCGGCGTAAACCTAGTATTATTAGCGTAGTCGTAATTGCGCGAGCAAGTTGATCTCAACGAGCAGAGCTGCTTTTCATTTAAAGGACAAGTTCTTTCAAGGTCACTTCTCATAGAAGCTGATTCATAGAAGAAAGAGAAGAGAAGATAGCTGAAGACATCCGGATTTACCTGCTACTCTCGAATTACTATTTACGAGTCGGCACGGATCTCTCCTGAGAGTCAAAGATTGGCATTTAATTGTTTTACGGCGTAGTCGTCCACATTACACTTTAATGGTTTATGATCGTCTTTATTGCAAAAGGACGCCGTGAGAAATATGTGGTGATGTGGGGCTCTTTCGCTTCTCAACAGGTTCTGTGCAACCTATTTTCAACTATCATCTTTACCTTTTATAAGAGGAATTTCGCTGCCCAAAAAATCATGCATTTTTAAATTTCTTAGACGTTTGAAAGGGAGATGACCAAAGTTTAAGACGGTTTTAGATCCCATTTTGCGGGATACGCCTTGCATCCGACTTCCATTCAAAATTGTAGGGACGCTTTGAATTCGAATGCAGATTAAAAACGACTTGTGGTGGCCAGCCGATGTCCAAGTCGAAGCTTTTATCCTCCCAGACAAGTCTAGTACCAAATAACCGATCCTGGAGAGATGGAAGGCTTGGTTGGCCCAGGCGGATATCGATCCAAGATTCGAACCCGTGTCCGTGTGCGTATGATAGTGTGCAGCTTACCAATACACCACCAGTTGTTTGGAACCAATGTTTTTCATTTTCTGTGCTCTTCTTTAGCCAAAATTTAATTTCTTTTTTGCTCACTACTTCCTCAACTGTCTACAACTTTAAATTTCAGTCTGCATTACCATTTCCATATGGATCGCAATTGCTAGGATTATTGATTAAATTTGTCTATAATCAACAAATGTTAGCATTTCATTATTTTCCTCCAGAATGAACAGCACCAGTGAAAAGTGGTTGTCAACAAGTGGCAAGGTTGAAATGAGGGCATTACAGTATAGCGGCGATGTGTCAGCGTATGTACTTTTAGTACTGAATAGTCAACATCTGAGGATGACCATTATTATTCAAGCGAGCACTATTCAACAACTGGAACTAAATGCTTGCTGAAACCTCTAAATCATTTCACTACTGTCCTGGAATTTATTTTCACGGCAAGCCCTAGCTTTCCTCAAAAGTTTTCGAAAATTTGAAAAAAAGGTTCACCTAGATACTAGGTTAGCCCTTACACGAAACTGCTCACTAAATAAAAATTTTCGTAAGGCAAAAAAAGTTTAACGGCAGTTTGGAGTCAAAAGGTGCCATACTGTAAATGTAAATTTAAATACTAAAGTTAAACCTTAATTATCCCGGCCTTTGAAGTTCCAAAGGGGGGAGGGGGGGGGGGGCGAAGGTGGTGAAGCGGCAAGGCGCTATCATAGATGATCCAGGAATCGTATCCCTGCTCCATACTCGCTCAGGTCAATCGAGCCTTTCATCTCTTTGGAGTCGTTTGATTGGTACCAGATTTATATGGAAAGATAAAAGTGCTGACGTATAAAGCCTTTGCAAGTCATAGTGTAGGCCACATACGCCTTCAAAGAGCCACTAAAATTCTGAAGGATGTTGAATGCAGGGCGCATACCAAAAACCGGAGCGATTAACGTCAAAGACTTCTGGACTCCCTGAATTTTTGAGGATTATAATTTTTTCTTAAATTCTTTTCGCTGTGGTTGTTCTTAATAGTGTTTTCTGAGTTTTCTGAGAAGTTTTCGACAACAACAATAAGTTACTTAGTTGGAATTTATTTTAATCGCATAAAGAATTGTGATCTCTAACCGGGCTTGGTTTGCTGTTGGAAATATTAACTACTGAAACCATTCAACTCATTCTCTTCTCAGCTGAGCCCCAGCTGAAGCCACTTAGCGGTTGTTCATTGTTGATTGTCAGCTGTGGTGTCCTACTATACTACTACCAGAGGACCCCACACCGTGGAGCACTATTATTTCTCTTCGGCAGCACAACTTCTTCAATTCAGGTAGGAATTGCTCAGGATTAATCACGAGCCAAGAAGACCAAATTCCGAACCTTTCCTGTGAGAGGTTGTTTCGGAGGTTTCAAAAACAACAAAGGGAAGCTTTGCATGATTATTTTGGGGAAATTCTAGTCGAGTTCATCCTTTTACCGAAACTTTGGCTAGAATCGGTTAACAATCAGAACCTTCTTCTTCTCCCTAGCGTCAGTCCCCCTCAAGTCCGCTGTTCTCGCGGGCTGTCGCTAGCTTCTTCGACTTTCCTGCCTTACTGCGGTCTCGATGAGGCCCCTCTTGATCACTCCAACCAACTTTCTTGGGGTTACTCGTAGTGGCTTCCTTGGTTAGTAATGGGGATGAGCGTTACAGATAAAGCTTTTTTCTAAATCTTAAAATTACTGTTCCGATTTCCAATTCCTTCTTGGGCCCTCAATCAATGTAACCTTCACGAAGTGTAGGTATTCTCATCATCTTCAGTTCATTCGAAAGAACTGATGAGAGAGATTTACTAGATGCTCTGTGTCAGTTCAATGGATTAGAAAAGCCTTATTTGCTACTAGAAATTTCTGTATCGTTTTTATGGAAATATTTCAAAAACAAATTGAAAAATATTGGAAACAAGCGCATGTGGCTCTTATCAGGGGACCATCGTTTTGGAAGTGTTCTTTTGGCTTTATGGAGAAATGGACTTGTCATGGTTTGATAAGAAGAATAAGCCGCTATCATGAGTTCCCCTTGACTTTATCACGAGCAAACCGGGCCCGCCGCGTGACATCAAGTCAACAGCTCTTATCTCGAGCCCCCTTTACTCACACCCCAGTTATCGGAATTCTTCATGGGGCCATGAAAAAGGTTTTTATCGGAGGATATACTGACAATGGTAAAGGTGCAAGGTAGTGTTGCGGTCGGTAGACAACTTAGATTTAGGACTACATTCATTCAGTTGTTTGGATCCCTTGAATGATAGTTAGTTCCCACAGCTCGGATGATCCGGATTAAGGCTCTTTTGCCGGAACAGGAAATCTCCAAGTGCCTTCTGGGTAGGAGTTTTATCCAGGAAAAGATTACACGATTACGAAAGGGAGATGAATTCTGAGAGCATGTTGCACTCCCATATAGGATGAATGACGTCACTTTATCACTCAAGTGATGAAATCAGTGACGCTTTTCAGCCTCCAGACTTCTAATAACTTGGAAATCCGTTCAGTATTTCGCAATGACATCATTATGACATCATGGGCGGGGCTGGCAAGACGCAACGCCCAGAGCGGAATCGCAGACGCGTCGCGTACTTGGCGAGGCAGTGTACGAGTTCGAGGAGTACGTCAAACAATGGCTTCGGTGTGAGCGTTTTGTGTGTGGTGTCGCTCAGCTAGTCCACCGGCACCCCACGATTCATTCTGCAACCATCATCAGACCATTGCACGGCTATCGATCAATATTCAATCAGTCCAATCATCAGCTGTAACAGCAAAAATGGCTAGGTAAGCTTAAATAATCTGTTCCATTGAATTTTCTGATCGTTGAGCACCAAGTGCAACAAGTATTGCACGGTTTTGAAATAGGCCTCTCACGACGTTCCCAAACGAGCCACTTCTTAATCTACACCTTCATAACCTTGATCAAAAAGAGTGTATTGAGGGTGTTCAAAGATTTTATGAGATGCAACTGGAAATCAGAGCTATTAATAATGCTATGTTCATTTAAATTAGTTTACAACGACTTCGATCACGAGTACTTACGACAAATCTACGACTTAGCACTTCGTTTCACAGCCACTCAGAACTTTTTCTTCAGCACCGTTTGAAATACTATTTGAATTTCAACCCCCAATCCCTCAATGCCTACCGTATTCGTTGCCGTCGTCGCTTGACCATTTGCTGCTGTTATGGTTTTTAAAACGATGAACTCATTGGGTATTGGACATTTCTGTGTATGTTTATTGAAGTTCCTCGTGAAGTTTATATCTTGAATAACTTGGAGTCTATCTGGAAGAATTTTGCGAAATACTGACTTTTTCGTGAGTCATCGAGAATTTCGACATTTTCTCTTAGATCTGTGAATTGACTACGTGCAATTACGAATTGTTTCCTCTATATATAGTCTTCTCACTTCATTTATTGTAACAAATCGTGGTCGTGAACCTTTGTCACGTCACTTTATAAAGAAGTTCCACTTCCTTGTAAACAATACTCACCTGCTGCGCGGCGTTTAAATGGGAGGGACGTCGTCAAAACATCACTACGATAGCGGTATATCAATGCAATTTGCAGCCATCTTCGCCAAGATCTCTTGTCTTTTGCTTTGAAATCCTCATTATTATTTTCCTTTTAGATTTTTTAGGGCTTCCTAGCAAGGTTTTGTGCCTTATGTATTGTCTTTTCGCTCATCTATTTTAATTTCTCTAAATTTTTATCTCTATATGTGGATTATTCTGGAGTGTGCATGGCATTACCTCCGTTTTTCATGCCATAATTAAATGACGTGATTTCTGAATGTAAGTTAAACCCGTTTATCCCATAGAGCCGGAAATCCTGAACAGTTTCCGACTTGTTTTGTTCAAGTAGAGTTTCTATTCTTTTGAATTCCTGCGCGTGACAGATGTAATTACTTATCTGAAATTTAGTAGTTCGCATAATATTTTGCCCCTCTTTGCCAGCCTTTTCCTACGGTATGTTGCAACCAAGTAAAGGAGCAGTCCACAGTTTTCTTTCCTACAGTTTCCTTTCGGTCAACTCGCAATGTTTAGCACCTTACGGACAAAAAGGTTTAGTCTAGGAAGGATTCGAATCGTAGTTCTTTGATGTTATCTACAGCTGGCTCCCTAACATCTGTTGTTTCGATTTTCCTTGCTAATCTGCTAAGGCATACGATTTTGCGGGTTCTCCGTTTTTTCTTCGTTTCCATTTCCAATAAGAGGCAAAGTTAGAATATGCACAAGCTCGCTAAGTTTAACTCCAAAGCTTAATTCAGTATTTTCGCTCTATTTCTCTTATTCTTTCACAGTTATGCCATTTTAAGTGATTCCATTTTGCAGTCGGGAATTTTCGATGCAAAATTATTGTTATAACAAAAACTGGTGGTTTCATTGCAGTCGACCTTTTTCTTAAAACATTCTTTCCCTGTTGTAATGTTCACTGAATCTTTCTAAGCACATTTCCGATGGTTTCATAAATAACGGCTTCGCATGGATGCGGTTTCGAAATCGCACTGTTCAGTGGTGTTACGAAACCTCCTACGTTGAAGCACATACCACTGATCACGGATTGTATAGATTATGTATTCAGCTTATTTGAACACCTTTTTTCTCATGAATGTCGCTCTTACTTGCTTATTTGTACTTCGTAATGTGGTCTCGGACAAGCAGAAAAGCTTCAGAATCAGTGGCGCCTTAGAAAAAGATCGTGTCCGTGCGCCTCCACGTGCACACAATTGTGAAAATTTAGGACGGAAACCGGTTCCTACCGTGACTTCATGGTGGAATAAAATGCAACAGTACTTAGCGGACAGCGTGTTTCAGTCTACTACATAATCAAACTTCCAAAACTTATATTCTAATCCTGGCCCATTTACGAACATCAGAAAAATGTATTGGGCAAGCCAACTGGTTGGAAGGTCGACCGTTACTTGGTGGTTACGTCACAACTAGCGTTGGAACTAGAACCAACGGCCGGTTAACTATCGGAATCAGGTGTCAGTCATGAATTTTCCCTTTTATCCGTTCCACAGAGCGGCCCCCGGCCCTCCGTACCCCTTCTCATTTACATTTCCTCGAATGAGGCAGCAAATTTTTGGAATCATAAAAGACAAAGAACAAAGTGTTTGGAGTTGATCTCACCGGTTTTGGTATACGCCAGTGCATTTGACTCGCCTTCAGAATCGTTGAATTTGGAAAGAGATTTGACCTGTGCGATAGTTTCGCATACCAAGGATGAACGTTTTTGTGCTTTTGTCGTCGCATCAGACATTAACCATCCAGACCGACAAAGAACTAACCCATGGCACTGTGACCTTTCTCCCGTTTCTTCGTGCAGCTCCTCCGCAGGTGTTCAATTTCAAAATTCCCTTCCTGCCATTTATTTGGCGACAACTGTTGACCCTTCTGATATGGGCGCTTTGGTGACAAAAAGATATGACGAAGTTATGCTTTTGTTTACTTATCTTTTCGAGTCTCCTGATAAACAACTTCACCTATATAAAGAATTATTGCGATGGCTTGCCCAAAAAAGGTCTTATCGTCACGTAAGGAATTTATGGCAGGGCAGGCAGTACTTCCCATTCGTAGTTCACAGCGAATCGATGTGTTCCATTTTCGGAGTCCGCCTTCTTTGTATTGAACTACTACGAAGTATTACGAAATCCTCTATTTTACAGCAGCATTTCTTTTGGTAATGCATGTTATGAACATTAAACTTCACTTTTTCTCCAGCATTCGCTATGTTTATACCTTGAACTTGTTACGGCACCCCTATGGTTTCTAAAAATTGCTGCTATTCGTGTATTGGTTCCATGTTTCACCACTTTATGTTACCTGTTGATAACAAAGTGATCTTAGTGATAAAGTAGCTAGAGAAGTTTATTTTTAATCCTAACTTGTAGTTGGTTGTTATGTGCAATACGGTAGGTCTTTATATGCCAATGTTTTGCGCCTGTCAGCCCTATTTAATGTCGTTTTACTCAGAGTGCATCATTCTTTCACGAATCTTTCACTACGGGGTAAATCCTATACAGTCCCAATTCACTCAGGCATTATATTCACGTGTTTTCGTTCCAGAACCATGTAATTGTTGCCGTGAATATGACGTCACCCACTTACTCACTCCATGATTATGTCTTTTCGCGTTGTGAAAGTTCAGCTGATTGCTCTTTGTTGTTGGCGTGTTCGCGCGAGGTTATTTAAAGGTCCAAACCATGACATCATCTTAACGATGATTAGATTGTGTGGTTCTTATAAGGGGCAGCTGATTGACGCTATCAATGTGGTTATCTTTGATTTGATTCACCCTCTTCTGTTGCTATGCTGCTGATTTTCTGTTCATTCGACATTCCTGCAAACCACATGTTCAGAGTAAACTAGAAGGAAATGCACTTTAATTCGGTTTCTAAATTATATCTTCAATTCCTCAACAATTCTCAGCCGGCTCCTAGGAGATTTCACAATTGTGATGTAGGAAAGTGAATATTGCGCAACTACGATTCTATTGTTATGAAGAACTTATGCAAACATAACAAAGATTGTTGGCGTAACATTAATTGCAGTTCGTCGATGTTATTTTCACTTATGTACGGTTTCATTTAGGGAATGACAGTATTGCTAGGCGGGATGGAGATCTCGGCAGCTTCTCTGGCAGCTATCGTTCGTAATGCCGACACAACAACTGTAAGCTTTATTTCATATAATCATATTTTAATTGGTGGCATTAACATATCGTTCTTTTCCGGATCAAATTAGCTTTTCATTATATTCGGTTCATTGTTTCACACTAATTTTTTGCCATATTCTTCTATGGAAAATTTGGAAGTAAGCCGACATTCTTCAAAATCGTGGAAATCATCACTTTTTCATAATTTTCTGCACTAGTTGTGACTTTACCACAACCTTCTTGTATGAGCAGTATTTGCTTCCGTAGATCTTCTCTTATAATCTACTCTTTTGAGGAAAATGATTCTAGACGTTGTCCTTCTTGTTTGCGTATCCTCTTAAATGCCATCTCTGCATAATTCTCTCTTCAGCTTCCTTCAGGAGGAGAGCCAGCTGATTTTCAGCAAGAATCTTCTTCGCTATTGTCATTAGCTAGGCACCCGTTCATCACCGCACCCTTGTTTTAGGGTAATGATACGGTATGGTTCCATCATTTGCCATCTCTTAAACTCGTGATCTTATCTCTTGAGAAATTGGCTGACCCCTTGCACATGTTATCGTCTTTGTCAATTTAATCATGATATTAGCGGTTTACTAACACGACGAAATAGCCAATCCTATGGAATTTTCTTTCAGCTTATCGTTGACTGTCGATGCCTAACCGAATTCAAGCAATCGCATATACGTCGTGCAACAAACCCATTCTATTCGAAGTTACTTCAGCGACGCCTTCTAGAGAACAAGGTTACTTTTGATGTACAATTCATTAGAATCGACTTCGTTTGTTATAGGTTTTCACCATATTTCTTCGTTTTTTTTTTTGATCCAGCTGAACATTCTTGACTTTAAAAAGTTCCCTGATGCTATGTTTTCCGTTTTGCTGAGTCATCCTGCAAAATACGTTGAGAGACTAATTTCTTCCGAGCCTAGAAGCTATTTCGAGTTACCTTTCATTATTTTTCTTGATCGTTTCGTTTGAGTTATGTTTTTTCATATTTCGAACGGTCATGCTCAACCTAAGGTACAGACAGACATGTAACAACTTGAGTGTTCTATGAGATAGAACGTTCAATGTTGGGTTACGGTATCTTCCCATTGGCACTGCTCTATGTAAATAATACCATCGTTCTCGTTGGTCGAGTTCTCAACGGGCACTATGTAGTGATTTAGCCGTCACAGGATTATGATGTAGTGCGGGAAAACATGGGGTACGTGTGAAAGTGGTGTTCACATGTCGCTAGTGATTTGTGATGTATTACTCATTTGCAAATGGTAATACTAAGTGAGAGTCTTGTGATTGCAGTAAAGGCCTGAACGACCATTCGCTTGGTACTAGCTGGAGTACAAGACTACCAGGACGGCGGGGTCAAGAATAGTAAATGATGAGTCAGTCTATGGATGAAGTTTTGAAATTTGATAGCAATGTGTTTACGCCCATCGCCCTATTTTTGGTGTTGCGCCAAGGGCAGCTTAAGAAAACATTTTCAAGTCCCATTTTTAATCATTGTCGTTATACATGAGTCATAAGAGGAATAAACTCTTTAGGAATACAAATTTGAGATGGCTTACCCCAGATATCGAGTAGATGGTAGTGCAGTGGAAATTCTCATGTGTGCTTCTCGAAATATAAAATTGATAAGGTTTCCAGAAATCTTTTCTTCATCGCTTGCGAATCGGTAAGTTTGTTGGGTAATGGGTTCGCCATTGAACATACAAGCCTTTGAGCCTAGAACACTTTCGATGAGAGATGAAAGAGAGGTGTTAACAAATTTCTACAAGGAAATGTGGCGTAATGCATTGAGAAGGTCATGCGTGTTTTTTACTAAACATTTTCCTGGAAGGACAGCAGTGTTCTAGTCTGCAAAGTGATATGACTAATAATTTTAAACTTTCCGGAAAGGTCTGAATTCTCGACATTCCAATAGTTTATTGAATCATTCTTATTGACTTGTTTAATCTCTTCATCGTTTTTCTTCCCTTTTTCGGTTTGGCCATTCGTTTTTTGAAAATTAAGAAATGGATTGGACAGATCTAATTAGCCTCCTTCAAGGTGCGCCATGCATTCAGCTTCCTATGAGTTTGTGGTGGTTTCTGTAGGTTATTCCAGTTATCCATTTGATCATTGGATGGTGGCTGTTGGTTCACCTGTCACCGACTGTCAGTCCTTGCTCTGTATTACCCAGTTGATCTTTTTTTACTTAATTTTCTGTTACGATCAATCTTCGCATGGAACGATGGATGGAATCAAGTTCCTCTAGAACAATTTTCCCAATCCCGTGGATTCAGTTTCTCCATGTTCTTGAAAGTGCTGGCATAATCAATAAGCGAAGTATCCCGAAGTTCGTTTGGCTTGCTCTCATTAAGCCTCAACCTCGTGTAGCACTTGAAAGTCGTAACCTAGGAGAATATATTGTTGGTACCAGTGCACTTGGATGATGGGCGTAATGTTAAAGTCAGGCCGGAAAGGTTTAAAGCATTTCTTCCGCAACTGGCTGGTTAGGTATGTTTGGTGTAAGGTTGCTGCTTACTCATTCAGGTGATCGTGTCGTGATTTTCGTCTATGAGTCATTCAGTTACTATTCCTCAACGACTGGTCTGTTGGCTCGATTCCAGGCCATTGATGACCATCTGCGGATCTTTCATCTATGCTGACTCATCGCTTTCATGTCATTCACTGACCACTCTCGCAAGCTCATTGAGGGCGGGGTCGAACCGGACTCAACTGGGTGTGTCATCAATAGGCGGTTTGTTCGCATGCTGCACTCAGTTTTACGTTCATAGTGGTATCGTCCTGATCTCCCAATCCGGTTGCCTTCCAACTTCACTTCACTAACGTTGTTGGATTTCTTCTCTAGCGTTGTTAATTCTTCTCGTTCCTTCCCACCAAGGGCAACAACTTTTCCTAAGTTGGCGGACGGGTGCGGTTATCACTAGATTGATTCATAGAGTGTAATAGTTCTTATAAAATGACCGTACTAAGTTCTTCTGTGCTGTCACGCGCTTCCCACCATGTAATCGATTCCTCCTTACTCTTGTGGGTACCGCTGACACAAAGCTACCGAGTTAGTAAAAAGATTCACGGAATACGAAGTGCTTTAAAAGTATGAAGTAGGGGAAGTGCATAGTAGAGATGGAGACTTTGTAGAGCCTGGGTTTCCTTCTCTCTTGTTTTCTTTTTTGAGTTTTATTTTAAAAAAACTCCGAGTGTTTGACAGGGTTCTGTAAGTTATGATGTTTGCCGCATTACTGTGCCGTACTGTTTTCTTCTTCTAGGATACAGTCAGTATTTTTATCAATGTTCAGTTTGCGAGCGTATTCCAAGGTTTCGAACCGATGTGGAACCGCTTTTGTCGTCCCAAACGGTTTTGAGTCACATCCTCAACGCTGACTCATGTACTTCGGACTCACTGAATCACTTCTACCGTAGTTCTTTTCATAACGGGGATTGTTCGGCTCTCTATCCGATACTAGCCATTCAGAGTGAAGTGTTTTTCTGAGTCATTGCCACTTGGTGGCAAGCAAATCCAATTTCCTTTGAGTTATGTTAATGTCATACTGAGGATCACTTCGGCTCAGTAATGTATTCCTACCGTCTGGTGAGCTGATTTTGGCTTCTTAGGATTTGGATTTTTTCGGAAAGTTGCCTTAGTATTCGAAGGCGTCAATGTGGCCGGTAGTTTTCGAATAGTTGTGCAACGCAGTACTTGCTTGTAAAATGACTTTAGGTGAAAAATCATTCGTGCATTCTCACTTCGGGTCTTGCCAACTCATTTTAAGTTACAACATTGGCTGTCTGTTTTTGAATAAGTGTTAAGGGGCATCTGAGTTAACTTACTGCCAGCTCGATAACCTATGGTTCTGATGGTTGAACAGGTTTTGTAATTGGGGCCAGAATGATCAAGGCACAGCTACCATGTACATAGTCTTGGGAACCAATCTTGGATAGGTGTTACACTGCCCAACCAAGCTGTCCGTTCTACTGGAGTTTATTAATTGATACCATTTAGAAAGGGGCTAATAAAAGCTCAGTTTATAGAGCGGCTTGCAAGCCCTAGAGGGAAAGCACATTACCTCCTGTGATATGGAAATTGACTGGAAATAGTGGACTAGATAAACAACCCTCTTCTATCAGTAATTCTGTACGACATATGCATGTTTTAAAGCCGTAATTAAGGGTGGCGCTATAGTCCTTTTCCTTTGAGAACCTGCCGTCGTAATAAATTTTGATGAGGAATGTCAGCGACTCATGGTTACGGGCTTTTTTCTCCGTAGCTTAGAAGGCTCGTTTAAACTGACCCTGTTCGCGATGTGACTCACTGGCAGGAGGTCTTTTTCTGCCATGAAAACGTAGCTATTTCATTCATGCGGTGATTCATTTGTGGTTTTTTGGTCATTGTGCCTCGTAGGTAATTGTTACCGTAACCTAGTACAAACGGGTACGAAGAGGTTTCTCCAGCTCAGAGCAATTCATCTTTTCTCAACTAATCTTTTTATGCAAGGATAGCCTGAACAGTTCTTTTTGTGTAGAGTTGTGGGTTAAGGCAGAAGTCGTTACCCTCGAGCTGTGTTCGTTATAAATACAGCGAAGTTGTTTGCACAGTAGTTCTTATTCATTTAGTCATCAGTGGCTACTACTCATGACATTGACGGCGATAACTATTCGGGAAACAAACCTATTCAGGTCGACCACGTACGTCTAGCGAATCAACTACGTGCATCGGCTAGTTGCAGTGAATTTGGCAACGGTATGGTTGACGTTGTGCTATACACGGACGAGCAGCCGGAGAAGCAACCGGCTGCACGATTCTGCTCAAAAAGAAGGTAAGCTGTCAGACTGTTAAAGAGTTTTGTAGAATTAAGCCGAAGCAAGTGTTCAAGATATGATGCAGCGAACAATCTATGTTCATTACTCCAACAGTCTGATCTGAACGGAGAACTATGTGCTGTCTTGCATTTTTTCCCATTCCAACTGTGTTTGGTCAAGTTGAGCTATAAAATATTAGTGTGGTCCTCACGTTTGGCCTGAAAGAGCAGCTTTCGGAAAAGTTGTACTCATGTTACATGCTCATGCTCCTACATATCTGGTAACTAGCTTTTAATCGGGCCGAGTACTATCCGTATCCTATGCAATTCAAGTTTTTGCTCAAAAATAGATATTGAATAATTATACTTATAGGATATCAACTGGTGGTTGTGGAGAAAACCCAGCGAAAATTGTTCGACACCTTCGTGACCAATTGGAATGTACAAATGTATTCCGGAAGATTCAAATCTTGGAAGGTGAGAGTTGCTTTCAAGTGTAAACGACCACAGCAGTTTGAGGTCTAATGCAGTTATATTTTCTCAGAATTTTTTGTTCTTTTCTTATACCATAACACATTTCCAATGGCTGTGCAAATAGTACAAAGAAAGCTCCAAGGAGTAGAAAAGAGCTTTTCATTTCTTCAATGTTTTTTTTTCTTGGAAATCGTCCCACGATATCATTTTACTCGACGTTCTATCCCAAGCCAGCATGTCGCCTAGACCCATTTTGCTGTCATTTTGAAATTTGAATACGCTGGGGATGTTGGATCAAATGTGTCGCGTCCTCGTCTCTTAATGCCCTCGCGTTCGTTTCCCATGGCCATTACCGTCTCCTGAGTATAGCTGACTTATCAAGCCTTCATTTCCGTTGCCTTAAAAGCTTCTCGTTCAGCTGTGGTTTAGTTGTAACTACATCTTTTGTCTGCATATGCCCTTTTCGGTTGAATGCTTCGTTTGTTTTACTCGGCCAACTGTCTACGCTTTGCCCACCACTTACCCCTAGTTATACTTGTTTTGTAAGCGGACTAAATGATTGATCTTGTAGACCTGTCGAATCGATAATTTCGTATTGCTAATACTTCTCCCAAGTGTTAATTCAAATATCTTTGAAGTGGTTACACGTCCACAAGTATCAAAGTGAGTTTATGAACACAGGAAGCTTCGCTGTTCCCCGAAAGTTCTTTCCACAGATGGTAGAGTCGTTTATTCGTTCTGCGTCTCCAATTCTTTTTTTATGGACCGGAGATGTGAAAGTACATTTAGGGAGGAATGGATACAGAAATGTCCCTATTTTCTCAGAAAAAGCAGCATGGATATTCCAAAGTGTAGGCTCCGAGAAAACTTTGAAAAACATTGAATATTATTGTGGCAAGGGGAAGACGGCTGTAGGTTTAGACGAGCACCGTTTTAGTTATGGTTTTAGTTTTTCTTCGATTGAAATATATGAGTTCGAGTGCTCTCTTAATGGATGCCATAGCTGAAATTCAGATTTAGTTTCGAAAAACCGAGTACTACCACGTGGATCTGGTTTTTCAACACCACATTGGGTGTCCGTATGGGATATTAAGATGAAAGGACGGCCACAGTTTTTGCATGTCTGCATCCCTTTCGACCAACACAAAAACACTGAAGGCATGTGAAGATAGTCAAAATTCTCTTTCAGAAAGCAGGCAAAGAACTCGAAGGTTTGACTCATACATGCTTGTAGGCGTTATCGCATTTCAATGAAAAAGATAATCAAATAGAAGCTTTTTTGGAGAAACTTCACTGGTTAAAAATTGTAAAAACCAGTTGAGGAAAACTTTTTTCTAAATCTTGTTTGAATAGGGAAAAAATTTGGCTTTGCTATATACTGTCGATTTCTATTGAGAACACATAAGCTTGTTGGCTTCACAAGGTCAAGCCTTAATATGTCTTGGCTGAGAATCGCCTGAGGCTGTCTATGGGCAGTAATGATCCGTGACAGAGGCCTCTTTTGGTCTAGAACTACTGCAGCCTTTAGCTCGTCCCATGCATCCGGCAAGTTATGCTCGGACATATGTATGTTTATGAGTGGTAATCGGGAGCTATTGATGCTATTGGTGCTAACTTGTGTGGGGATGTCCGTTGAGCGATGTCCGTATTTGCTGTGCAAGTTCTTTCCTGACTAATCCAATCAACCTCTTCCCTAGTGATGATGCCAATCCAATGAAGCAACTCGTCCAAAGTTGCCCATTGTTTCAGTTTCCTTCGCGTCCTTTCCCTCTATAGTTCATTCAGTTCCTCTAGAAATGTCCAGGACATATTTCTGTCATTCTTCTCATATACTTCTCCGTATGACTCATTAATCTCTTAATTCATGGGCGATTTATTGCGAGGTTTTAGACAAAAACATGTGCGAAGGCTGATAATCGTGAACGGATTATTCTATTCGGTTTTGGACTGAAATGACGTGATTTTTTCTCGAGATTACTCATACAGGGCACATGACGCTTGGATGACTTCTTGGAAAGTTCTGGCCCCAATTAAAGGTGTGAGAGCTTAGAATGTATAAGATAGGGCAGATTCTAGGCTTAGGCTCAGATGGCTAAATCTGTCAACTATTCCACTCAGTTCTGAGTCTCTCAAGTGTGTAAATATCTCTCCAATTTGAGGATGTCGCCTCGACAAGTACAAAGGGAAGATTAATTTCTGTCTTCTGGGATTTTTTCGTGGCTCTTTTTTAAATGGGCCATATTCTTGTGGCGAGCTTCTGGTTTGCTTTGCTAGTGCAGTTCTTTTGTTAGCTAGCAGCTACATAAGGCAGTCCGTAATCGTTTTATGATAGATTTCTCGTTTTTCAGTTCAAAGCCGTCTCAGTCAGGAGATTGAGTTGTGTTTTCGTGATTGAAGTTTTCTCGGGAAATGTTAGCTGGCTCAGTGTGTGAGCCCTTCTAACATTTGTCAACTCATTTGAAATTTTGGTTTACTTTAAGTTTTCGTCACAAATCTTCTTCCCTATCTATAGTTTCTCTTATCCCGGTTTGTACTAAGTTGAGCCACTCTGGGAAAGACTAACTCCCAGAGGTCAACTAAGCTTATGAACGCATAACAATTTTTCAATAGTTTCGGGTAGTGCCAGGCAGAGACAGCCATTGATGCCAATCCAACGAATACCATGGTAATGGTAGTCGTTGGCAGTGAATCGTTTGAATCGTCAGTTACATATGGCCTCGTTGCTATGCGTTGGTTGGCTTTAATCAGCCTCTATTCTTGACCGAGATGTCTTCTTCAAGACTTCAACCGATACAGACTTGATGTGAGCGGCGGTATATTTGTGGCCGTGGTTTTTTTTTTTTTTCTAGAAACTCTTTCCAGTAGTGTTTTTCGTTGCAATCTTCTACCAGCTCCCATAAAAACTCGCTAAGTACAAGTCAGTGTCAAACAGAACTTTCCAAGATGAATGAAATTCTTCGGCTAGTTAAAGGAATAGATAGAGCTATTGACCTTGCTAGAACCTTAAGCTGCACCGGGTGACATCACCTTGTATTCAAGCCTGTTGGAGAAATGAAAGTGCATTTTGTGGTTAAGTATTCACTGAAGCAGTACTGATAACAATCGTGTTATCTGTCTCCTTTTATTTGTGGCTTGAACGAAAAAAACAGGATCATGAAACAGCGTTGACAGATGGAGGTGGTGTCACTTGATAACAGTGACGGGTATCGAGAATGACTGGGAGTCGAAACCAGAGGGGAACATAAGGCTGTTATGGATAGCCGTCAATTCTTCATTCGCTTCCGATATCTTCATAGGTGGTCTAACGTCACTTGAACGTCACTTGAAGGAAAGTGCTAAGAGGTTCCGAATATCATCGATTTTGGTGACTTTGTTCCCAATTCGGCCAAGGAAGTCCTTTGCCGGAAATTTTGAAGTCCAGTTCTTAAATTTTAAGGCGATAGGAAGCTATAGGAAGCTTCATGTTACTTAGAAAGCTCATTTTATTTCGGGTCAACCTTCTGTAGAATATATCCTAGAAATTCTTGAGATTTTGAACACCAAACCTCTTGGTTGCAGTGACCCAGTTGTCAGGCCTCAGCCACAGTCATTCTCACCACTGTTGGAGAGAAAGGTCCTCGCATAGGAATGACTTTTTCTCTTATTTAATGGTTCTACACGGTGAAGAGCCTTCTTGGAGGTACTAGGCAAGATAATGTAGTTTTTCTTGATTTTCTACTAGACAAGCTATTTAATGTATGTGATCGAATCTATTTATGATGTTCATATTGACGTTAGGTCTATTTTCTGTTTACCTTGGACTCACCACAACTATACGACGCCAATCACTTGTACATCCGAATGGTCGGGTAATTGAGTGGAGTGGAGGTGCGGGACGAGCAAATCTTATTACTGGACTACTCATCCCTCTAACGCTGTACTTTGGAAGATACGAGTGCGATGATGTCTTCGGAAGCCAAGGGAATCCTTAGCCATCGATAGGAATCATCTGTTCTGATGCATATCTGGTGGGTGGATTGAAACCAGTACTTCGTGCCATTCTCACCCACAACCCCCTAACTCCCCCCACCCTTGAAGGTCGTTAAAATCACGGCTCGCGCGCCCCGAGGACATCCCAAAGACGAGAGGGGGGCATTACTTGAGTGTGAGAGCGACGATGCAGGCGGGGTGGTGACTCATCGGCATCGATCGTGCGCTGCCGCGAGTGTTTTCAATAGAGCGGGTCTGCGTCTCTACGGAGCAGTGTACTTCCCTGTTCGCCTGCATACTGGCGCAAATCCGCGATTCATATTTGGCATAAGCCGCGCCGCTACTTCTGCCCACCCACTCCTCGCTACCGTCGTCGTTGCCGTCGTCGTCATCTTCGTTTTCTTCGTCGTCGTCCCCATTGTCCAGAATACGTTTCCGCTACTAACACAAGTACTGTGACGCGCGTTCTAGCCATATTCGAACCTCTTCGAACTGCTGATCGGCTACAGCACCTTCATAAGGTGTCACCCCTTCTACTTGTAAAAATAGCCTGTTGGCCTCTCCATCCCCGTGAACATGGGTGCCGAAGAACAGCGCAAGAAACGGAAGAACAGGAAAAGAGCACGAAAGCAGAAGAAAGCGAAGCTTCAGGTGCCACCACCGGTGGCTCCGGAACCTCCTCAGCTACTGGTAGCAACTCCGAAATTCACAGAAAAGCCGTCAACAAGTAAGCATTGAATTCTTTCTTCATTGGCATAGCGTTTTTTCGAGCTTTGATCAGTAACAATATTTGTTTTCGATGTCTTATGCTGAATTTTAATGGTCTCCATGGTAATGAAGACGAAATTACTTTCAATGAGTCAATGAGTACTAATAAAAATGCCCTTTCCGATTGTCCGGAAGGCTTGTTCAAACAGAGCAAACTGAACTGTGGCCAACACAGCTGGGATTGCAGTTGAAAAAAAAGCGCGGTCATTGACAGCGTAAATGGGGTCTTCTCTCGGAATCGTTCAGTTCTCGCTTTTTCTATCCATGATGCAGAAGTACTTTGGGACTTGGTCTTTCTTTTCTTTTCTCAATTTCAGTTATCATGTTTTCCTATCGGTACTACTTCTGGTTTTGAAAACTTGTGGCAGTTATGACGCTAAGAACGAGAATGCTCTGTTTGTTATCGAGATCGTAAACGTCTTACAACTATGGGTATACGAAGTGTTTTTCAATACGAGTCCATTCGTCAACAGCAATGCTGCTGTGCACTTTTTTATCGAGCAGTTAACAAGCCATGGGAATAGTAGTGACGTGCTCGAACGCCGTTAGAGTGAGATGGATTTCTGAATGCACTAAGCAGAAATGCTCTGAGTCAGCGACGGATGACGAACATCCACACTGTCACCTCATGATGACCAATCGTCTCATATCTTCAAATAGAAGCCGTTTTACTGAAACCCTTAAAATCCCTTCAAGGAACACATCATTCTGATGAGTTTCCTGGAAGGAGATTCCCAGAGTTCCAGGAAAATCCGAGCGGTTTTGAGAAAATCTGGCTTCGTTACGTGAGTGTGATGATGTGGGGAGTTTCGTGGCGATCAACTGATAGTTTCGGCCTCGAGAACAGAGGGGAATTAGTTCGAAAATGGGAGGAAGGGAACAAAATTTGGAGTTAGTGCTAAGTGGTGCGGAAGAGAGAGCATCTGCACACCAGCCGGTATACCGTAGAATGTTTGCGCTTACTGGGGATTAAAATTGAATAAACTCAAGTGTAAGAGATAATTCCGAATGCTGCTAGAAAGGACTAGGGACCAGATTTGTTCTCAGGAAACTTGGAGTGGTTTTTTGTACCCTTTTCAGAGATAAGTGGATGAAACATTATCAAAACATGTGTGAACGAGTGAACCTCGGGCAGTAACAGTAATCAAAACTCTTGGTATTTCCGTAAAGCATATCATGCCAGCATTTATCAAGAGTCGGTCATGTCGCCTTTGAGGAATCCCTTTTCCCTATGCCCTAGCTCCACCATTAAAATCTTCATTTATTCGACTGCTCGTTGTTTTATTTCGTATATCTTAAGTGTAAGAGATAGAGGGCAGTTTTTAACGGAATTCGGTCTGCTTCGGTAGATGTAGCGCTGCGGAGCTCTAATGACGGAAGTCTTTATAGCCTGCCTTTGCGGACGTGGGAGGAGGAAAATGTTCCGATCATGATTTAAGTTTTCAAATTAAAGTTTTTCACAAAGAATTGTCAGGTCACTGCGAAATAAAGCCTACAATGCGCAACCTGTTACACTAGGCTCTGGATGTAAACTATTTTTCATATTAAGTAGCGTTTCCAAGTAGAAGCTTGTTTTCAGTTCACAAACAGCTAGTGAATGCGGGACTCTTGACATCATGCTTCTTTCCTTTTCAGTCACATTAGAATTTGTCATCGCACGTAGTGGAAGAAAAACGAGGTCTTCCTTAGTACCATTGGGTTTCTAAGCCTATCGTTCAAGCTTCTGATGTCATTCGCATACGAAAAGATAAAAAAAAGAAAATTGCATGTCATTGCGTGAGGCTGTATAATTGGCACCTACGTCAGACCTCTGCTATCCGTTCACTCGTTTGCTCACCTTTCACATTTATTGCCTTTGTATATTTACATGATACCGCTGTTTCGTAGAAGCCCATTTGTTAAAATTATTCAGTCCGTAAATATCCGTTGAATATCCGTTAGGAGCGGGTTAGATCTGTTTGCTAGGCATAGGAATTTTTTTGCCAAGGTGCCGTCTAGGAATCTGAATAGCTGAATGGCCTGTGGAATAAAGTGCGACTACGGATGGAAGTTGAATGACGAATTTTGGTGCTCTCCTGTTTTAGTTGAAATAATTTTAGTCAAAGGCTAACACTCTATGTGCTTGGACCGGTCTAGTTGCATGATTTTTCATTTGAACGTGGACGGGTTTCAGTTTCCTCTTTAGATCGCTGGAAAAAATTGGGCGTGTCATAAGAGCAACGGCTCATGTTCAGCGGAAGAAACCTGGTCGTTAAAAGGACAAAGTAAGAAATTACTGTGGTCTACAGAGTGCTAAGGCGGCCCTGCTGTTCTGGTTGCACTGATCTGTCGTGATTTTGTAATAAGAAAATAAGACGAGTAGGAGGAGAGACGGGGGGACGGGTGCGTGTATGTGTGTGTATGATCTGAACGATGTCACCTGTGTGCAGATGACTCATCCACCACCGATGCGCATACACCCGACCAACCCTGCGCATTGATTTGCTTCCAACCAGAACTTCACCTCGATGAAACTCTGCTCTATCTTGAACGCTATTCTTTTCCTCTCCTATGACACCATCATCTTTGGGTATTTCCCTGAAAAACCTGCCAATTCCATTCAGAAAAAAGTTTATTTTTGTGGTCCGCACGGTCGTTCTGTGCTTTTTTAGATCATTTTCGATTTTTCTACTTTTTCTCTGCATATTCGTATGATAGTACTAATTAATTGTGTTGAGTGGTTCGCGTAAAAACTGCCCATAGTATTGATCGATCTGTGTTTGTCTAGTGAAGTGTCGTCGTGGTGATGAATCGGTTCCCAAGTGGTGGTGCTTCTCTCGATCTTCGTTTATCACTTTTGAGACTTTAAACCCGTTTTTTCTTATGCTTCTGATTCAGTTTTTAGTTTTTTTTTAAATACTTTTTAGTGTTAGTTTTTTCACTGTTTTCAGCCCAAATATTGGAGTTCCCTCTACGCACAGTTTCAAATTATCTAGTCTTCCCAGGGCAGTTCACGAAACTTTTTTCAAGCTATTTTCCGTAGTATTTCCTATTTTGTTTATCATGTCGGGATTCCAAATACTTTTGCCTTTTGAAGTTTTTTAATTTCCCGCCATCGGCTTGAGGCTGTTCCTGTGCTAGGCTTACATGTGGAGCAGCCTTCTCCAGATTTTTATGTTTTTTTTTAATGTTTCTTGAGTGGCTGTGAATAATTCGAAGGGTTATTCACCAGCTCTGACAATATGTCATTGATTTTTCCACATCACCCGATCATTCAAGATCTAAAACCTTATTTCTGATGAAGTCTCTAGGAAAAGCCTCCTCTATCGAATAGCTTATGTACTTAAGTAGGATTGCATGGGAGAACAACCATTATCACTGAGTGTGTTTTGTGCACTAGTGCAAATCACTGTCTTGCTGCTTCTTTTCGCATAGAATGAGTCAAGCTATAGATGGGATGAGTTTCTTATTCCATCTTAGGAATTATTTAAAGTTTTGTTAATAAATAAGGGCAGTGATGGGATTCTGTTGAATGAGGTTATTGTTCGAGCCAGTTACTCTCCGAGGAATGCCAAATGAATGAGTGATTGTGAGGAGACAATGTGCTAAACCTAAACATCGAGTGGTAACAATCACTGGACTGCTATCGGTAGTCGGGGTTTAATTTGCTTCTCGTCTAAGAATTGATAAGGGATTGGTTTCAGGACCTACTGAGATCGTATCATACATGTTGATATTTTTTAGGATTGTAATGTCAAAAAAAAAGAAACCCTTAAGTTGAAACTATATCTTCACTTTATTTTAACTTATTGTGGAGCTTTTTCTGTCAATCGACCAGATTTTCTCGATTTATATTCTTTTATCGATTTTCAAAACTTTTCATATTCTCTAAATGCTTCTCTAGATGCTTATTCGACGTTTTCTTGCTAATAGCATACGATAAATATTACTGCCATTGCTCATTGCAAAGGTTTTCCAGTCAGCATTATTGAGCAGGCGAGGGGAGCGCTGAATAGCTAGCTAGCTGAGTGTGTATGAGAAGGTCTCAATGAGTCATCCTGCTCTCGCTGCTCTTATCGCCGCCTATTCCTCGGACGTTTTAAACGCCAATTAAAACCTCTCAAATGGCGAATTTCTAGTAGGAACTATGCAACAGGGATGATGAATGTCAAAAAAATAGCATGCTGGAACTTGCAGGTGTTGTTTTGTTTTTAAGCGTTTACTAATCACGAGTAAAGCAGGCGCGTAGTGCTGCAAAACTCTAGTACCATGGGGAGTTGGATCTGGGAAACATTATGAAACTAATTTGAATGAGGAAATCTCGTATCAGGTTTCCCCAATATTCAAAGTGGTGTCCGTTCAGTCCAGTGTCCGAGAAAGTAGGGCTTTTGGGACTTAGTAAGCCATTTACGGATGAAGTGGCGAGTTACGTAAGTGAAAAGATGCAGGGTTCGAGTGGATTGTGGGGTGTTCTCTGAAAAAAAAAAGTCCTGAAGGAACCTCAACGTTTCTTTTACTCATGTTTTGTTGTTCTGTTATTTTGGTAGGGGCAGCACTTTGTTGAGTCCTTCTGAAATGAATCTGTTCATGCATCATGCAGGATTAATCATCGTTTATTTTTATCTATGACCGAGAAATGAAATTATTTCTGCTCGTCATCAGCTAATATTATTGCATTCCATCGATGTATCATTATCATCATTTTTTCTAATTCTTATACGATAACTATAATTGTGGACGTTTATACGGAAGTGAACAGATTCAGTTCGCTTTTGATCGTAAAAGTCGTTAATACCTTCATATGGAAATTTTGCCTTTATGCGAATGTCCATGTGACTGTGATAATCAGGTTTCCATTGTTTTTATTATATAGCTGGAAGCAGAATGACTAAAAACCTGGGTTAGGCGATGATTGAATGAATCACTGAACTGGTTATTCTTGGTGACTTCTATAGAATGATTACGTAGGAAGTATTCGTCTTCGGACATGCGTTTTTGGACGGATTCTACGGACACCGATCGAACCACACACCACGTCCGTGAATCATCGCTCATGTGACATTAAGTGGTACCGATGGGTTCCGAAAATGCGGTGACGTCATCTGATGAATGACTAGTGGGAGGAAGAGCTTTGGGAAGAAGGATTTGTCAGAGGGGGATCATAAGAGTCGTAAAGACCGAGCGATTTTGGGGTTTGATAAGAGGGAAGGCAGCGAGCAGAAGTTCATTCAGATATTGTTTGATAAAAAGCTCAATCCGTCGCTTGCAGTGGGTTTCAGTTGTTGGAAAGCTGTTCGTAATCAATTTATTTGAACAAACCACTCGGAAAAAAATTGATTGTTATTGCCCATTGATTATCGATAGGGGATGGTCTTCCCACAACCAGAAACCTTTGCAAATGGTAACAATCAAGGTCAAGACAATCGAATTCGACAATGTGACAATAAAAATCTGGCAGAATTTGATGAGTTAGCTGTCAGAATCCTGAAAAAGCGTAATGGAATTTAACGAGCGCTGATTTTCCCCCGAACATCTATTCTATCTAGACTCAGAAAGTCTTATAGCTTTCTCTTTGTGACTTTTCTTCATTATCAAGAGTCTTAACTGGTATCCTGACCTTCGTGCTAGTACTTGTTCTAAATTCTTGGTAATAGCCTTATTTGTTTGTTTCAATTTCTTTAAAAGTAGTTTTGTTGTATAAGTTTGAGTAGTTTGACCATTACTTTTGACTTATTTTTTTTTTCAATCTGACTTCTTCCGAGCAAGAATTTGAAATATCCGATTTGAAAAACACCAAAAAAAAGAGCATGGACAGTTTTTGCGTGGTCGTTTTTCTCAGGCTCTCATGTTTCAGGTGGCTTCCAGAATTTCCGACTACAATTTCCGCAACAGTGCGAAAGCGAGCATCCTCCGAGCGGTGACGCCGGCGGCAGAATTTGCGGCATGAGCCGATTGTCAGCCAGCATCTCACAACCGTGTCTGTCGTCGATCAGTCAGAACGCGGATGGTCCTACCCAGATTTTCCCATTCATGTATCTGGGCAGTCAACAGGATGCACTCGACGAGGAGAAAATAAAGGTGAATCGTTGTTCAGTCACTTTTTTGACGTTCTATGAGTGTACTTGTGATCATGTGGTTATGGAAGTCATGGTTGTTCGCCTTTCTCAGTTCAGTGCGCGTACTTTTGTCTCGAAAGGGGTTTTCTTTCTGCTGTAACTTCTTCTGGTAGTGGGGCAAGGGTAGTAGAGATAGTGCGATTCCAGAAACTGGTCATTTCGTACAGCTATGTACTACTTTTACTTACGGCTCAGGCTAACTCATCGTTGACTACTTGGGGTTCAATCCAACTGCATGCCACCATTTCCTTGTATACTGTTGTATTTATAGGGTTTTCTTTGTGGGTATTTAACCATCGGCTTTCTCATTGCTAATTCACGTGATTCAATTGTTTAAATATCTTTTTTTTT